AAGGTGTTTTAAACCCTTCCCACACTCTTGCAATATTCTAAACAATGTTTCTAAACTCTAAATGCTCTAAAAGAGCACATAATGTCATGATTTCAGCTCCTGCCTCCTCTGCTCTTTGCCACCTGCAAGCGGTCTTGGCCACGCCCACTTCTCCGCTCTGCACGCTTAACATCTGATCAGCTGCAGCAGGAAGTTTATCCTGCAGCACGGGCTGCACAAATGTGCAGCAGGTGCTAAATAATTTAAAATAATTTATTTTAAATAAAAATTCCATTCTGGTCTTGTGGCTCATCCATCAATCAGCCAATTGTTTGTCATGTCCAATCTTATTTTGAAAAACCGCGACGGAGCGAATCCGCAATACTGTGTTTTACATTCTGAAAGGACTGACAAAAAAATATATTTTTCCTCTTAGTTGTAGCTGTTTTTGTGTTGAAATATTTTTGCTTTGCTGTGGTGGCCATTTTGAATTGGATTAACACCAAAAATGAATCAGCTTCAGATGTACTTCTATTGATTTATTTCTAAGAGTTACATAAATGATAAATGGACTGTACTTTTTTTCATTCATTCAACCTTTGCTTAAACAGATAAGTGACATTGAGCCTCGAGGACTCATTTACAAGTGAGACCTGTTTGGACAGACAATAAAAGTGGTGAAAAATAACACAGCGTTTTGGAGACAAAAAAAAAAAATCCTAACACACTCTTAATCTTTGGTTGAAGGTCAACAGCATGATAATGAAAAAATCTCACACAGTAGCACATAATGACACCGACATTACGCGGGGGATGGGGGGGGGGGACGCAAGGGTGGTGAGCAACACACAGAGGCACTGCAGAATTCAGATAAAATCACTCAGTTCAAATAGTTCCCTCTGGAGAGATTCGTACACACTCACAGGGGGTGTCGAGGACAATCAAAGACAAATCCAAAGAGTCCTGAAATGACGGCAGAATGTTTATTCAGCTGGGCTCCTCTGAAAAGTCAATGGAAACTCGTCAGTAGGAGTGGAGGGAGGGGTAGGGCCATCAGATTTACAAAACTTCCAGCTGTGTTAAGATGGCCTGCCAAGGCCAACCAGGGAGCCAAATTCAGATAAACACGATTGTTTTGGGAACAGGCAGAACTTTAAGGACATCTACCTCGAGTCTGTGTCGGTCCACTCGGTTCCAAAACGTCCAAGTTACGTGGCCACACCAATGGACCGTGCCTGAGAATAATCCCCGAGATCTGATCCATTCTGTCAAAAGCATTTGAGTCTGGGTGCCCGAGGCTCGAACCAAGCCATCACAAGGCAAGCAGCCTCATTGGGTCCAAATTTGCTGCCGAAGACTTCCTCGATTGTAGATAAACCAGGAACCAGCCGAATCCAAAAAGCAGAAACCAGTTGTCATAGTTCCAACTATAAATGCGTCCTTAAAATCCACAAATGGCAGCAGAGAGAGATCCATCATCAAGTCTTCCAAGTCGATGAGATATCCAGCTGCGTGCGTGCCAACAGCGCAAATCGGTTCGCTTAAAGCCTGTCTTCTCTTCAAAGAAATGTTATCAGATGTGTTGAGGGACCAACTGATCAAATCCTGGTCCATAGTTATGATTTGGAAGATTTGTAGAAGAGAGGTTCTAAGCAGTTTCACAGACAGGACAGAGAAAGCAAAGCAGAGAGGGAGAGGAGGAGGAGGCGTCCGCCCTTGACAAGAGCAAGTGTTGAAGTGATATAGCACCTTTCTATCTTATCAAGACATTCAAAGATCTTTACAACACAACCCGTGCCCTCATTTACCCATTTATAGAGCACTCTACTAGATCTCTAAAACCTCTAAAAGCAATTCCATTATTGCGTTCAGAGGCAGGCAAAAAAATAAAAATCCCCAAGAATTACAGTAGGTATCATTTTAGCATAACTTAGTTTGATCTCTCTGAGATCTTCACTGTTAAATTCAGCTATTGTGAGTGTTAAACTAAATAAATATGTGCATGTACATGCATGCCTGTTAATCCCTGAGCAAATAATTATGTGAACGAGAAAGAGTGCAGCAGTAGGTTGGTGTCCTTGATGTCCAGAGGGAACTGGTCACCATGTGAATGAGTCTGCAGGCCTGTTCCTGGAGAGCTGTTTGTGTGGCAGTCCGTCACAAACCGTGTTCTCATCTGGCCCAGCACTACTGCTGAAGGCTTCACCGACACAGATGGTGTTTGTTTTATACAAACGCACACAATGTGGTGCACATGACAAGAAATAATCTCTGAATCTCTGAACAATCTAACTTCTGTTGGGTAGATTTTTTTAACATCCACCACCAGCAATGATTTTGTCTGTAAAATGTGTTTGTTCGGTTGTCTGTTAGCAAGTGGAGCTACGAGATTGTGCATAACATATTTCACAAGGTGTGACCAAATCTGTACCCCGCCTCTTACACAGTGCTGGATATGGGCACATGCAGGGGCGATTCTAGAATCTGCCCTTTAGGGGTGCTTAGCCCCCAGTGTTGACAGTGGCTCTTGGCTTGAGCAACGTGGTGGCCATTGGTGTTAGAAGCATTCATAATGTGGGGACACACACTGGTGGGGGGTCTGGGGATCCTCCCGCTGAAAATCTTGAATAAAGTAGATTCCATTTCCTACATTCTGGTGTATTTTAACGGGTTGTTTAACTATTTAAAGAGCTCAGCACAACAAGAAGGAGCGCTAAGCAAGTGGCGCGCCATAAATCACACAACCTAATAAACACTTTGTACAAAATCAGTTTAGTGTCACTTGATCATAACAAAGACTAAACGTATGCAACTAGAAGTTAACATATATATATATATATATATATATATATATATATAAACAAAACACAAAACAAAGCACAACTAGCTTTTAACCTTTAATTTAACCATTAAACATAAAATGTAATTATGACAGAAAATGACATGAGGTACTTGCAGCTTATCTCTGTTGTATTAAGCTGATCTTGATGTTGACCACCAGCATTTATCCGTCTTTAACATTTTTATAGACTCAGTTTAGGTTTTGGAAATGAAATAAATTGTATTCACTCTCTAAAGCCGGGCTATTCAATTAAACTGCTCAGTGGGGTACAGCTACTGAAAGCCAGCAGCTCAGGGTCCGGGCATCCAGCGATTAATGTCATTATGGTAAATGGTAAATGGACTGTACTTATATAGTGCCTTTCTATCTTATTTCAAGATACTCAAAGCTCTTTACAACAATCTGTGTCTCATCTACCCATTCATACAGCTCTATACTAGATCTCTACAAAGCTAACTGAACAAATCATTGTAAAGAGACTAATCAGTGCTTTAGATCACATTCATACTGATGGGACACACATCAGAGGCAGTGAGGGGTTCAGTGTCTTGCCCAGGGACACTTCGACATGTGACTGCTGGTGGATTCGAACCCCCAACTCTTGCATTGGAGGACGACTGCTCTAACCACTCACAGCCGCCCCTATTATGTAAATAAACCAAGTATTACAATGATCTGTTACCTTTTAAATTGTTTTATTATGTTGCACTGAATCATAAATGCAATAAACAGAACCCAAACCCAGAACCGTCAAAAAATAAATAAATATTATTTTACTTTATTTTTCTTGGGTGCTGAGTTACTCGAGCACCCCCAAAAAGAGGTCAAAATCACCACTGGGCACCGGTGACCCCTGCGACCCGAAAAGGAAGAAACGGGTAAAGATAATGGATGGATGAATGGATGGATGAATGGATGGATGACCAAATTTGCTTCATCTTTGTCCGTTTTCATCACAATGATTTACATTTAAATCATGAAAGGCAGTGGGTGATATGCATTAGGATGTTTAGACTTTAATCATGTGGTGGAAGTCCCTCGTGTTGTTTTTAGCCCTACACCTGGTTGCATCTAGATGCGCCAACGTGTCAGCAGTCACCCAGTAATTATTGCTCAATAACCGAAGTAGCCTAAGCTTAATCAGGTCTACTTTCACGCCCTATTACCATAAACAATCATTTGAAAAACATCTGCATGAGACAGTTTAAAAGAATGTAGAGGGGCCAGCAGAATTTCCTGACGTCCAACAGATTTCCATTCACAACACGGATCCATTATTCACCAAGTTGTTATGAACCGTATCACCACAGCATCTTTATCACACTCCTAAAGAGAACACAGAGGGGTGTGTATGGCAGGAAGTTCTCACTCCTCCTCACATGACATTAATGGTTGACACAATTGGCTGTTAATGCCGGCAGCACTGCCATGGTTACCTGTGTGGAAACCCTGTCATTAGGGACTCTGACTCCTCCTAGACTGCATCTCTCTCTCTCTGGCACCAAAAACATGTTTACCAGCACAATCATACATATAATATACTGACTACCCATTTGTTTTCTAAAAATAATAACAGCCAGGTCTGATTTTACAATGTGAAAATCAGACAAGTTGTTTTTCTTCACTTTGTGTGAAACTGATTCAACAGGTTTATTTATGAGCAAAATATCAATCTGTTTATTCCAAATGTGACTTTCTTTCTTGGAAGAAAAAAAAAAGCAGTTTTTTATACATATAATAATTTAAAATGTTTATATTCATGTGATATTTGTGAATTGAGTGGAAAGCGTTCTGGGCCTGGATGCTGTAATGAGGGGTGGAGAAAGACTAAGACACCAGGGATTTGGTCCTTGAATACACCCTGAACTGTGTCCTCTGAGTCAGGATTCTACAATGTGGTGCTGGAAGTTCTGTTAGAGGTTCTGAGGTTTTGTGAAAAATGAGTTGGATCCTCTCCATCTGGGTGGCCGAGGCCCTGCTGGTTCTCTGTTGGGGGCAAAACTCTGTGTATGAAGGTAGGCCTCTACGCTGATGACAGCCTCATATTGAAGCATAATAGTGTAAGTGCTGAGTCATCATTCATACTTGTATGAGTCAGCATTCACACTATTGTTTTTTTATTTTTATTTATATATTTTGTGGTTTTAACTACTTATGACTACTTTTGTACTATTTTAGTCATTTATATATCAAAACATTGAGCTCATCCAGGAGATGGATGCTGCAACTTTTGGTTTTATACTCTAAAATTTATATTTTTCAAACTATTTTATTTACAAGTAATAGTTTTTCCATAAAAATACACAGAGATTTTTTTTTTCAATTTCATAAAAATGTTCTTCTCTTTAAAACCTGCTTAAACACACTTCTGTCTGCCTATGCTATTTTTAGCCTTTAGTTAGCTTTATGGTACTTTAACCTTTGTGCCATCGTTTAGTTTCTTTTAACTTTTAGCTATGTTTTTGTTACGTTTAATTTTTCGCAATTCCTGCTTCTACTTTAGATTATAGTTAGTTTCTTGCTGCATTTGGCCATTAATTTGAGATACTTTTAGCTAGTCTTTTGATACATTTAGCTAGTCTTTTGATACATTTAG